CCCACTGGCTGTGAACATTCTAAACTAACACGAGTCTCATTAAGTGTCCAGTTTAAGGGTATTACACAGAAACATACCAAGGGAATATGAATCAAATATGCACATTTATTCGTTTACAATAAACTCATAAAGTACATCATTCTGATTGAAGCTAAGGGCATACAAAACTGTCTAACAATGATAATTTCACATTCTCTTTGTAACAGGTATGAATCACCCTATTGGAGAGCACTTGCAGCTACCCGTATTCAAGTGGCATGGAGATACAGAAAGAAACGTTTAAACCGAGTGACTACCTCAAACCTGTGTCCTAGATGAGGTAATGAAGTTTATTTTGTCATGACATATTAGTTGATATTTGTATGATATGTAGCCAATCTGCATTTGTTGTTCAGTCAATTGAAGAGATATTGTGCCTTTAATGTAACTTCTTCACTTCTTCCCTGATGGTTCAAGAAAAGATGCATATAAGAATCACTGCCCATAAATTTCAATTTGTCTTTTAGAAAGTATAATTTAAACATTATACATGTGAACATGTAAATCATAATTGGACCTGATCTTAACCAGAAAGAATAATGGTATAACTGATATTCAATCCAAATATTAAATGGATTCGATTTCCCTTATCCAAGTTCAATTTGTTTATGTATATGGATATCCAAATCAAAAGTAAACAGATTGGAACTCAGATCAGATCTTGAATTTCTTGGTAAGGTTAACAATCCTAAAACAGGATAATTGGTCTGAAGTTGCGAATATTAACTTGGTTCTTCATTTTAGGTATTGGAATAATAAGAGATGCAATAATACCTCTAGGGAAAGGAATATAGTTTTCATCATTATCCTCCTTGATGACCTTCCGGTAAGAGGTTATTGATAGTAATGTTTTTTACTGCCTGAACAACTTCCTCTTCATTTGGTTTTGATTCCTTTGAAACAAGGAAATTGCTTTCTTAATCCCCCACCAATGAAATAATACACCCAAAGAGAAGATTTTTGTTGTTCAAAGTTGATCACTTACTGAATACTTTTAGGGTCTTCCACCAGTGTATCATCAAGCAGCTTAGTTGAAGTGATATTTTTCTTTTTCTCCATGACCAGTTGTTGCCAATAACAAGACAAATCCAATCCTTCACTATCACGTCAAGGAAAGAACCATTTATGGTAACAATGGCAACGTAAGACATACTGGTGCTAATAAGTAAACTAAAGAATGAGGTCAAAACTTGTGTTCCACTTAAAAGAGCTTGAATTCCCCACACTTTATCTTAATGTTATGTTTGGTTTTATGGTAAATTAAAAGAGAAACAGAAAATTGAGGAAAAAGTTCTCAAAATATTAGAGAAACAGCCTAAGTTTTTCTTGTGTCCAAGTCTTAGATGTGATCTTACATACCCTGGCAACCCCAGGCTCGACCTTCCATACCCTAGCAATCCCAGGTGCGATTAGAGGTGAAAAGTGGGCCATGTCGGGCCAGCACGGCACGGCCCGTGAGTAGCCTACACAAACCGTGCTGGTCTTCAGGCCATTATGGGTCGTGCCACCCTCCCCGGTGAAACTTTTGGGGGTCAGCCCAACACGGCTCAGACCCGTGGGCCAAGCCTTGGGCCAGGTCAAGCCATGCATCAAGGCCAAAGCTATTTATTTAAGAAAATTGTCAAAAAACTTAAATTTAATTTTATATGAATTTTGTGTATACAATTGCTTATATATACAATAATTAAATAAATTAGTATAATAAAATTAAAAAAATAAAAATAAAAAGCCCGAAACCCGGCCCTGGGCCCGAACCCAAAATTTAGCCCATGTTGTTACTACTGCTGAAGCGGCTGAACACAGAGAGAGAGAGAAAGAGTAAAAGAGAAATTATAAAGAAAAAATAAAAAAATGTGTATATATATATATATTTCAATAAATATTATATTATTTATATATTTTATATAATATATAAAATACATATTATGTATTTTATAAAATATATAATGCTGAGTCGGGTTGGGTTGGGCTTTTTTGACAAATCCCGAGACTGGCCCGTAACACAGTCGGGCTTACTGTGTTAGGCCCGAGGTCAGGCCCGCAGGCCTAATTACATGACCAAGCCCGACCGGGGTGCGGGTTGGGCCATCGGGCTACCTGGCCCATGAACAGGTCTACCCCCATGTGCCTGTGTGGTGCAAGTTTGAGTTGTCAGTTTGAGAATTTGTTCTCGCTAGAAGTGAAGACGGCAAAAAGAATAGAAATTATCAAGAAAATAGAAAGTCAAACTGTATTAGAGAAAGAAGACTKAAATTTGTATATTTCAAGAAACCTTCTAATCTAAGTAAAAAAATACACCTAATTCTAATTGTAATTGGTTGCCTATTTGGTGTAAAAGACCATAGAAAGTAGGATCCTTTGATTCTTTTCTTTAAACTTTTCCAAAAAAATTCCTTGTCTAGTTGTCTTACAATACTTGCCATTAATGTCATTCCTAACTAGAAGACTAGAAATTAAGTTAGGTTGTAACTAGGATAGAGACAACTTAGTTAAGTAGGAATTAAGTAGGTTGTAACTACTAACTAGGAACTAACTACTAAGTCGGTTCGGTTCAGGTCGGTTTCGGTTTTCACACATGAAAACCAAAATTGACCCGAACCATCGATTTATGATTTTTTACAACCCGAAACCGACCGGTGCTGAAGAAAACCCGACTAACTCGGGTTGGGTCTTCTTATGAACAACCCTACTAGGCATGACCTTACATACCCTAGTAACCCTAGTAAGGCCTTGACAACCCCAGACATGATTTTACATACCCTGGCAACCCTAGGTGTGATCTTACATACCTTGGCAAACCTAGGAAGGCCATGACAACACCAAGCGTGATCTTATATACCCTAGCAACCCCAAAAAGGCCCTAGAAACCCCAGGCATGATCTTACATACCCTAGCAACTCCAAGAAGGCACTGGTAATCCCAGGCGCAGTCTTACATACCCTAGCAACCCCAAGCACGACCTTACATACCCTGGCAAGCCCAGGAAAGCCTTGAAAACCCCAGGCGCGATCTCACAAAGCCCTAGCAACCCTAAGCATTGCACATTACTTATGAAGTTCTGGCTAACTAGTCCCAGACACTAGTGATTTACCTTATCTTTGCCTATATCACAAATAGACACGAACCTAGCAAACTACAAAGCTTGCTATAGCCAAACAATTGCACAAGAACTCGACACTAGTGATTTTCGATATCATCCATCTCACAACAAAACGAGTAGAGCAAGCACTCTTTTAATTTACAGTTAATCTTTCAACACATCAACCAAACTACGTGACCATATACCCCACACATAGTTCAGATAAAAATGCATACATGCATCATGATCTACGATATTACCGTCACAAGAATATCAGTATGCTATAACAAAGCAATTGCATCAAATACTCAAATCACATCATAAGAGTAGTATTCCTCCCAAAATTCTACACACTAAATGGGGGGGGTATTCCTATCACCTTTGTGCCATGTTTTCCCTACTTGATACTTCACTCATCAAAATATAGAGTCCTAATACTTTAAAACTATATTTGAACCTCTTCCAATGTTGGAAACACGCCAACAACTCTACCAACAACACATCAAACCTTGCATCATATACTTATTGACAATGCTATGCAATCATCTGGGTGTTCCAACAACTTTTGGCACATATCCATGCGCCTAAGCTCCTACATACACCTCTCAACAAAAAATGGTCAACGCGACCCCTAAAGAATTTAAATGTAGGTTGCAAAATTGATTGGACCGTCCCTATCTCAAATGTTTTTGATAAAATGTCTTCCGCCAAGATGCTCTACCTAATGCTCTACTTGATATAATGCCTTTTCTATCAAAACACAGGGGGCTAGGTACTTTGCCCGCTAAGCACCCATGATGACTCAATACCCTCCCACTCATAGGGGGACAGCAAAGATAGCACACCCAACAAATTGTAGGGCTATAAACTTAAAACAACAAGTCAAAGCAGACATGTTTCTTAACAGAAGGCCTTCCATCAAGAAATAGGGGGCTAAAGTAGAGGAAATATTGAGCTATACCTTACAAAATGCTCTTATATTTTCACCATCACTTACACCTTCAACATTTTGTACATGACTCAAACAATCCAAAAAACAAGTACAATTCAATGCAGCACCGCCAACAAAGAGAAATCCAATAAGTAGGCCTAACCATGCCCCTCATTCCAATAGAGTATAAAATCACCAAATTCCTTTCCTTTCGTGACACCCATTAAGCTGCAATTTATATCAAATCAATCTTCTCCCCCATTCTTAATCATCTAATCATAATTACATAACACTAGACAAGCAAAGCAAATACTCTTATCAATAAGCAGGGTAGACTAATGTAAGTACATGTACTTCACTATCATTGGGACTATGGTAGAGATGTTAAAAGAAAAATAGAGAAATCCCAACCGGGACACCTCTAAATGGCACAATGACATTTTATCAAAGTAATGTAAGGCCCACACACTTACGATGAGTATAGAAAGCCATTCTACACTTACGATGAGCATGAAGTGCTATCCAAAACCTACGATGAACATAAAACACCTCCCTAGACCTGCAATAAACAATAAGCATCACCTGAGACTTGCCATGAGCATAAAATGATATCGCAAAAGCCCAATGAACTATCAACACCTTGCAATGAGCATGAAATGGCAGCTCCTACTACAACGAATGGAGGATAGACTCCAAGGCCGATGACACCCAAGCGCACCAGTCAGATCCAAGTCTTACCCTTGACACATGTCTACAGGGAAACTTGTAAGGGAACGTAGCCTATATACACCATCCGAAAATCCTTAGAAGGGAAACTTTCTCCTTAAATGATCTCGTTGGACACGTAACGAAATCCCAATAGTGCTACCTTAATAGTCGACATAAAGATAAAAATCTAATTTCCTAATAGGAAATGTCGTCTTTTAGATCATTCTTCTTATAGCCTTAGGGTCCTCTCTATAAAAAGGGGGAATAATTGTAACCCTAGAGTTTCTTAGGGGACATCTTTCTCTTATCATCCCTTCTCTGCTCTTCTCCAACCATCCTCTGCAACTAGTATTCCTCTTCACATTCTTGCTTTCCTGTTTGTCCTCTCCGAACCTTAAGAGACTTTGACCAACCTCCGTCGTCTTACGACCGCACCAACAAAATGAATTAAAGAATACTTCAGTCGAAATTAATTAAGTAGATTAATCATGTACAATTTAATTTCAATAATTAATCACGAACAAATGATTCAGCCCATGATGGTAAGGGTAAATTACATACTGCCACCCTATTCTTTTGGGGTAACTTTCATTTTCCACAAATACCCACCCTAACTTTTTAGATTCCAACACTTTGCCCCCACTATGTTAATAAAACTTTAAGGTAAAGGTAAAATTATTAAAATATCCATTCAAACTTCAATGAGCTGGAGAGAAGAAAAAATCATAATGATGAAAATGGGCATGTTATAGCATGATATTGGGGCTCAGC